CAACAACATTACTACAGCGAGAATAAAAGTTACGTCTTCTTTCTTTGCGTGAACATTTGGGCGGTGTTATGCAAATCTTCCCACATCGTGACGAAGATATGTGGGGGCGTGTTAGAACGAGCCGTTTTAGGTAGGCGTGGTTAACTCTTAACTTTTATAAAGAATATCTCTTTGGATTTGAGACTTTAGTCTTTGCAACTTTACAGATCTTCTTTATGCATCAAGAGCTTGTAACACTCCAAAGAAATTTAAATAATTTAAATCGCATCATATGACCCCTTTAAATGTCAGTTTTAATTAATAATAGCCATTATAGTATAAAGTGTATAAAGTATAAGAGGCTTATGTAATAGGAAACAAAGACAAAAGCAAACAATTCAGTCAAACTCAAAGTCAGTGCTGTACTACAGTAAAGCTGAATAAACGATATGACCAGGAACAAATAACAGATTCATGAGTCCAAAGATTGCCTGTTATGTTTACTCAAAACGAATTATATCTCATGTTTAACCACTACAGAGACATCAGAGCCAGCGGCACATGTCAGGACTAGCCGAGGTGAGGCTGCTCTCAGCGGGATTGATGAGCACTGAGCTCCCGCTGATCGCCTCGAGCTCACTTCTCCGAAATCAGGCACTATCTTTATAAATAAACCGCAAATTTGAGTTTTAACGCCTTACCTGTCACCCCCCATTTTTGAACACAGACGTGAAAGTGCACTATCCAAACTTAAATTATTATAATTCATGAACGCTTTTGAATACAGACCTAAGGGTTGGTCTCTTTTTAAAGAAGACAATCAGCAAATTATGGCAGAAGTAAAATAATAAAAAATAAAAAAAAAGTATGAAAACGTTATATAAGTTTACATTTACTGCAAAGAAAATGTACTGTACTATTTTTAATATTTTATATAAAAATAAATATTTTACAAAATAGTTTTTAATCCAAAATTGCTATAAAATTAAAGTCATATGTCTAAATAAGTTGTGCTCAAAATTTGAAGTTGATATTAAACAAATTGAGGTTCCTATGCAAATTTGTTTAGGCGTTATACCAAAAACAGTCACCGGGTGCCATCAAAAGTTCATTTAATTTTTTTTATGCCTTTTTCTGTCACAAATGTATAAATTATAGTAATTAAAATTACTTATATCACAAAATAACCACCAAATATGGAATCTTGAGACTCAGACCTTTCCAACGATATGAATTTTGTCACGATTATAGAAAGTTTTGATTCTAAAAGACCGTAATACATTTTGTAATATGACACCCCCCACTAAGGGGGAGGAGGCCTCTAAAAGATTTTGAAGTACCATTTCTATGGTAACCCAATGTCCACTTTCAAAATGGATGAATTTTGAGATTTCAAGCTTTCAAATGATATATAATTTATGATGATTACTAAAACATGTGACAGGGAAAAAGGCAATGAATAAAAGACGTTTTGTGACAAAGGTCAGAACTCCTGTTATGATGTAGATCTGTTATGATGTAGAGGTGCACTCTTGTCATAAATTAATCTATTACTTTTCCTACATAATTTGTAACAAAATACAGTGGTGAAATATCTATTTAGGAGTCTTAGACCTTTCCAGCAATATATAGTTTGTCATGATTAGATTAAGATTTAATTATAATATAGTGAAGTAAACTTAGGCGTCCCGCCAACAGGACGGTGACAGTTAAACAACTACATTCTCACCTGAAAAACTCTATACATTTCATGACACAATAATAGTAATATTTTGAAAATTATGCATGTTTTCTCCTCCGCCATCAAGTTCGCACAAGTCACCTCTTGATGCATCCTCGATAAAAGGGGCAGAGCACTCCGGGGATTTGAACTGTACTTGGCTAGATGTGTATTTGGGCAACGACTGATGACATTTCACAAGTCCACAAGTACAAACAAGAACAATATTGAGAAACGGCTCGTGTGCAGATTCAGTGGAGGCGGGGTCTAATTTGCATGTTTGTGGTTGCGTATAGACCTTGTGTAGCTCCGCCCCTTTTCAGCGACAAGCTCTTTTTCTTTCATCTACCGTTTGTATTATCCACAGCGAAGGTAAGGTCGTATGAATTTATGAACGAACCGCTCATTTTAAAATCTTCCCGGTCTACTGACATTTGTTATGACATCCGCTTTGTCAGTGTTGGGGGTAACTCATTACAAGTAACGCGAGTCACGTAATCAGATTACTTTTTTCAAGTAACTAGTAAAGTAACGCATTACTTTTTTAATTTACAAGAAAATATCTGAGTTACGTTTTCAAAAAAGTAATGCCAGTTACTTTGTTTTCCCATTTACTGACTGACAAGTCTCCTGTCTCCATATTGGGAGAAATCGGAAGTGCAGAGGAATTGTGTTATAAATATAACTTCTTATATTAAAAACAATCAAGCCCTGCTCATATTTAAAAAGTAACGCGAAAGTAACGCAAAAGTAATATAACGCATTACTTTCCATAAAAAGTAACTAAGTAACGTAATTAGTTACTTTTTTAGGGAGTAACGCAATATTGTAATGCATTACTTTTAAAAGTAACTTTCCCCAACACTGCGCTTTGTACATTACAATGCTCATGATAACTTTCGTTAACTCTACAAAAAGTAGAGTTTCCACTTCATCAGCTAATTACTCTTAAACAGTGATACTATAGAGCTACCAAGTTCAAAGACAAAATTCTAAAGATGGCTGCACACTTTTTCTCTGGCATAAGGTCTATACTAAATGAGGTAAGGGATTGGAGATTGGATTTATCGATGATAAATATATAAACCTGGTTGTGTTTAAAACACATTCGGTTTATTACAGAAATATCACCTGTTTCATTTATGTACGACTGTCAAATATGCATCACATAGCATTAGTTTATGATAAAATTGCAAAATTCAAATAAAAATTAATTTGAATGCATTTCAAATACATAACTCTTAGATTTAGGCATCGGTATTTTTGAGTGCGTTTATGATGCTTTTTTGAATTTTTGGAGTTTAACATACGTGGTCACTACGGATGGGCATTATGGCATAAAAAACAGTCAATCTTTTGTTGTCCACAGAAAAAAAGTCTAAGTGTGAGTACTGTAAATGATGACAGTATTTCCATTTTTGGGTGAACTACCCCTTTAAGTACCTTGACAAGTGATATGATGCACTGAATCTCTGCCTTCTCAAAGGAAGTGTTTAGTTTGATACCATGACAACAGTCTCTCTTACAGTAACTCTTTAGACAATTAACTTAAAGGGGTCATATGATGCTTGAGGTGTGCTCTGATTGGCCAGCTATCCAGTGCGTTGTGATTGGCCGAATACCTCAAGTGTGAGACGGAAATGTTACGCCCCTCACATACTGTTGATGTCGTGTCCGGCCGGAGCGACGAGACATAAACATTAAAACCCATTACAAACGAGGCATTTGTTGCATCCAGTGGGGACATAATTATGTATTATAATGACTTATACTGTCTTTTTACACGTTGCGTTGCATTGCGCCGTTAAACAGTCCTCCATAAAATGTGCCGGTGATCCACAGCACTAAGTTGATGTATTTCCTCAGCGACCAGCACAGATCAGCTCTAGGCATGACGAAGCGGATATCGTCCTCTTTTGGAAGACCAAACAAAGTAGTTTCGCTTTCCCAATGAAGCACACAGCGTCTTCACAACATGGCGGCAGAGGCAACAATACTACAGCGAGAATAAAAGTTACGCCTTCTTTCTTTGCGTGAACATTTGGGCGGTGTTATGCAAATCTTCCCACAGAGCGACATAGGTATGTGGGGGCGTGTTAGAACGAGCCGTTTTAGGTAGGAGTGGTTAACTCTGAACTTTTATAAAGAATATCTCTTTGGATTTGAGACTTTAGTCTTTGCAACTTTACAGATCTTCTTTATGCACCAAGAGCTTGTAACACTCCAAAGAGAAAGGAAAAATTGAAATCGCATCATATGACCCCTTTAAAGAGTTAATGATGCATTTCAGACACACTGCAGACAAATACTGAACACTAACAGCCAGATATTCTACAGATACATATACAAAATAGATTATTTTCATTCAAGTAAAACATTTATATGACTGAAAGAACCTGTAAACATAAGTCAAGTCATTTCTAAGGGTTAGTTCACGTAGAAACAGCTGCTCGGTTTTTACAGTTCACCTATATATATGGAACTATGTGTTGAATGTGCACTAATTGTGATATGTATAATAAATTAACTCTGAGAAAATATAAAAACACCCCTATTAAAGATGCCCAAGCAATTGTGTATTAGAGTTAATATTGTGTGTCAAAATCACAAATATCTTCACATAAACTGACAGTTTACTTTGATACCATGCCAACAAACATCTCAGCATCTCTTACAGTAACTACACAGGCATTAAAGAGTTAACCGTGATGCATTTCAGACAAACTACAGACAAATAAGACGCTAAGTTTGCGTTTACAAAAATATATTGCTATAATACCTGAGATGTGCGCCACTTGTCATGCGTATAAAGTCAATTAATGGAATGAAACAACTTTGACAAATAAGAACAGACAGCCTTGTAAAAAAAAAAAAATGTAATTGAAGATGCCCAAGCAAACCTTGCATAAATGTGAATGCTAAAAACTAAATAAACGCATACTAAATAAATAACTTTAGCACCGAAACTGAATGGAGCTCCAGCTTTGGCCCCTGGCTCACAGACAACTGCAAAATGCGTCAGACCCGATGCAGCAGAAATTTACATGCATGTTTGACAGCAGCGTGAAACGCTCTCCCGCGTATGCATGCGTGTGTCGTTCATTTTGGCGCATGTTTAGCATGACAGTATTGGTGTCAGGTTCACTCACCGCACAGATCGAGTCCAAAATCCGCGTCTATCCGCTCCGTCCTCGTTCGTTTCTCACGGAAGGGCCCCCGGAAAGACTCTCCGCCGTCTCCCTCCGGTAACACGGTACATCCTCTAGAGAAGCTGAGGAGAGAATCCGCTTCTGTGTGTCCGCTCCGTCCGCCAGCGCCGATAATGATGATGACAAACGGCGAGCGCACATCACATCACAGAACGAGGAAGACGGGTTTCCATGACGAGCTGCTGCTGCTGCTGCGGGAGAAGGACGCGACCGGATCCCACACCAACCACTGGATGAATGCGAACGTGAAGGTTTGAGTGGGGAGAAGCGCCTCAGTCTCCGTCTACACCACACGGTAAACACGGGGGTGTAGCGATGACTGGACATCCTTCTCACGGAAGGGCCCCCGGAAAGACTCTCCGCCGTCTCCCTCCGGTAACACGGTACATCCTCTAGAGAAGCTGAGGAGAGAATCCGCTTCTGTGTGTCCGCTCCGTCCGCCAGCGCCGATAATGATGATGACAAACGGAGAGCGCACATCACATCACAGAACGAGGAAGACGGGTTTCCATGACGAGCTGCTGCTGCTGCTGCTGCTGCGGGAGAAGAACGCGACCGGATCCCACACCAACCACTGGATGAATGCGAACGTGAAGGTTTGAGTGGGGAGAAGCGCCTCAGTCTCCGTCTACACCACACGGTAAACACGGGGGTGTAGCGATGACTGGACATCCCAGAGGAAAGAAAAAATAGCAATGAGATTTCTTTAACATCTCAACCCATTCTCATAGACAGCAATGAGATGGAATAAAGTGCCATTACAGTCTCCTGCTTCTCAGAATTTTCTCCTAAAAAAGGTGCAGTGATCTCAGGTTTCTTCTAAACATCTCAAAAATGTATTATGTTCAGATTTGCATTGCTTGGAAAATCTACGCTGAAAAGTAAGATTCTTCAATACAAACTCAACATCTCAATCCAAGATGAAATAAAAAGCAATTACAGTCTCTTGCTTCTCTGAATTCTCTCCTAAAAGACCCCATGATCTCATGTTTCTCTGGAGATCTCAACAATGTCTCAAACTGTGTTCAAAGTTGCATTGCATGGAAAATCTACATTGATCGGAATCTGCCTTCTTCCATGATGTAAACTAAAATATTTTTCCTCTGAACATCTCAACAATGTCTGTTTAACTTTGCATTACGTCGAAAATCCACACTGAAAAGTCAGATTCTTCCATATGAACTCGATTATTTCTCATCTGATACTTCGAATACCAAATTCTTCTAAATATTCATTAGAAAAATCACAGATGAGATCTCTTTAACATCTCAATTCCAAATTCTACATAGAAAAGGCTCAAATATTTCTCTAATTCCTGTGATCAAAAGTAACACATGATGAAATTCACAAATACCTTTATATACCTTTTGCGAATGTCTCAGATTTGTCTCTTTTCTAAAGATTCTGCAACAAAAAAGATTATGCAAAGAAGTTTTCAAACTAAACTTGATCACCAAAATAAATAAAAATAAAATAGAATTATTTTGAAGCCAAATTGAGCATTTTGTAGGAAATATATATTATATACATACTGATCTCGTGAAAGTGCGTATAAATACTACGCCAAATAAAAACGAAAACTCGTGGTATTGATACGCAAAAATGGACTTTGGCGCGTATATGCTATGCGATGGGTAGGTTTAGGGTTGTGGGGTAGATGCGTATCATATGTACGCGAAAACTGCGTATCATATGCACGCCAAAGTCCATTTTTGCGTATCAATACCACAAGTTTTCGTTTTTATTTGGCGTACTATTTATACGCATTTTCATGAGACCGGGCTCGTATATACATATACAGTATATATATATATATATATACAGTATGTTTAATATCTCATTTGCTTCTATACAGCTATAAGAGGAATTTAGTTCTATTTTAGGAGACATAAAATTGACACTCAGTGTAAATGAAACAACTAAGAACCCAATGAATTTCAAAAAGCTATGAAAGAGCAATCTCACTTTTCTCATGAAACATCTTGCGACTTTCAGAAATGTCTGCATTCCTTCACTTTTCAAACACTGACTGATTGATTAATGGAAATATTGCCACAGCAGACTATTATGTAAGTAGTATATCATATAATATGCAAATACAATCTCTATGGACGATTCAGTAGGGTATATAAAAGCAGTTTTGATACTAAGAGGTGCAGAAAAGCTTTCAGAGTGAAGTGTTGATGATGAAGATGTTTGTAACGTGGGTTCGGACTCATTCTGGTTACCTGCATTCATATAGAGTTTAAGCTTAGCTCAAGGAGATAAACGTCCCTGGGCTCAGCATTAATGGCAGAACGGACGTGTGTGAACTGATGAACAAGTGATTGGGATGCAAAGAGTCGAGCGGAGTGGTTCAGCACTGAATATAAGCTTGGATTACTCTTATGTTAGCGAGAGCCCTTCATGTCCGCAGGTGCTTGTGCACTTGACTAGGTTTAATGTTTGAAGTATGTTTCCAGAGACTCTCTATATGAGGATGCTGCATGTAAATGCACACATGCATGCATATGTGGCTGTGCACTCAAGGGCAAACACACACGTACAGCGCGTTATTAAGCAGCAATATGGCCGCTCTGACGTCTCGACCCCTCCTTTCTTAAGAATGAACTCTCATTCCCAGCTGACAGGAACGGACGTCATGTTTCTGCTGTCGCTGTTATCACTGGCGCTGCAGGGGGTGAGCAGAAGGTTCGACTGCTTCACAAACACACAAATGTAGAAGTTTCACTCACACATCAAATGCTCATCTGCACCTAAAGGGCGAGTGAAAGGCAAGAACATTTGTAAATGAACCACGTCATGAGTTTTAAATGATGAAACTGGATGCTGGAGTTTATAAGAGCAGGATTCAGCTTGATAGTTGAAGGTCACATCAGATAACCGCTAAATAGACTCTTGCTTGCCCACCTTCTGTTCTGTATGTAAGAATTCGAATATAGCATCTGCTAAATGAATAAATGTTAATGTACTGTACAGTGACCCTAAAAAGTTTTTTTGTTTTATAAAAAGTAAAGGAGACTTAAAGACACACTTAAAATTAACAGAATGTCTGTGCATTATATTGGTAAATATCAAAGTAAAAAAGACGGTTTCAAATTTAAAAAGCAATAGCTATATTGTTCAAAATTAAGACAAAAAAAAGTCACTTAAAGGTCCCCTGAAATGCTTAGAAACACGCAGCGTTACTCTATGTGTTGACGTCATTTTAACTGAAACAGGAAGACAGGGCGGGACATATCAAGCAGCCCCGCCCCTTTTTAAAATAGCCAATAGCGTTTGTTTATATCACAGCTTGGGCTAGAGACGTTGAGCTCCGTAAAGCCGCATTTGACAGGGTATGCCAGCCACAATCTCATCCATATTGCTAAAAAATATAGCATTCTGTGTAGAATTCAAATAGCTCCGATACATTTTGTGGTCTGCGCCGACTCGCGCATGTGATCTGCTC